TAATTATTTTTCTAAGCATATTAATTATCTTTAATACAGTTTTATCTTACTGCCTCTTCATGTTAGACTCTTCAATCTAGATACAATGCTTACTAAGAGGGCGTTAGCAAACAGAGAGTATCTGTGACACTACGCGAAGTCCCATATGGCTCCATCTAAATAATCGATCGAAATGAAAAGCAAAAATTATTTTATTTATTATTCTAGAAATATCAACAAATATGATAGAAATTAATTTTCTATTATTATTATCATTATAATTTATTAAGTATAAAAAATATTTTTTTTGCAGAATTATTTAATCAAACGGATTATCGTATAACAGTTTATTGTAATATAATTATGTGGAGAAATGTTTGTTCAACGAATAAAAGAAATAAATTACCAAATCTTTGAAGGAGATAAGAAGTAAATAGACTTTGTCATGTCCAAAAAACTATAATATTGAAAAAAGAAAAACAGGGATAGATTATAGATTTCTATTTTCTGTTTTTTAATAACAATTTTCTTTAATAACAAAAATTTATTAATTTGTTTGTATTTCTTTAAAATATTGTATATATTTCTTTTTAAATTTAATAAATTTTAGTAGTATAAATTTTAAATAAAGGCAAAATATCGATAAAGATAATACCTAACATATATCTCGTTGATGGTATCGATCTGGTTGAGATCGATTAGTCGAATTTAAATAATATCGACAAGAAAATCGACAAGAAAATTTAGTTTAAAAAGATTCGAATTATTGATTAGTCGATTAATCGAGGAAAATCGAACGTTGCTCATATTCCTGATGACCAGCAATCTTATCAGCAAGAACAGTTGTGAAGGTTAGATGATATTAGAAAACATGAATGTACGCAATATATACGTACGATATACGAAATATAAACAACTTGAAAAGTAAATAGTGATCGTCGCGTCTGTCACATAACGTAAGTGTCAATTGAAAGGTTAAATTTATTTCATGTCTGTCAAATTATTATTACATCTTATTTTATCACAACAGGGCCAGTTATTACAAAAATAAATTTTTATAAATTTAAATTATTTCTGTTATAAATTGTATTTATTTCAATATATAATAAAACTGATTTATCTTTATTTTATTTTAAGTAATTATATAATAAATATATAATTTTTATTATCTTGTAGAATATTTTATGTATTGTGTGTAAAACATTATTAATTTTTTATCACACAATTTGTTAAGTATTATTTCTGTTAAATATGAATATAAGATAACATCTTAAGTGTAATATTTTTAAGTATTTTAAGTATTTTTTTGTATTTTTAATAGTATAAATATTTCTTTATAAGAAACAGAAATATTTACTATACTAACGTAATATTTTAATTCTAGAAAATTAATAAATTTCTGGAATTCTGCACAACAAATTATTCGACGTTATGTGGAACGAAGACCTGATTAGTATTGCACTGCCTACAATGTCAACTATTGTTTTCTTTATATTTACGGTAAATTTCTTTCGATACCTCATAGGTAGTCCTCATATTCAGATAAGAGATGTTACAAAGGAACATAATTGGAAGGCTATTAACCAAGCAGCTAAGGTACTTTTAAAAATTTATAGGATTATTATAGACTGTCTCTTATTTATGATAAAATAAAAGTATCTATCCTTTTCCTAAACATGCACATTTTTCCTATTTACATATAAATTTATATGTAATTGTTTCAAGATGTCGACAAAACAATAAGAAAATTGCTTATATCAATGCATGATCCCGTTTTAATCGGATTGAAATAATTATATCAGCATGGAGTATTAAAAATATAACAGCAGTAGTAGTCTAGTTTAGTTTACAAAAAGATTGTATATGGATTTTGATTAAAGTAAAAACAATATTAAATTATATAAATTAATCATATATATAAAATTATTCTATATACAGGCATATTACTGTAGTATTTGTGAGACTTTATTATTGAACCTTGATGCTGGTTTCTGTGATTCTTGTGGCGTGTGTGCAGATCGAGGTTGTGTAAAGCTTGCTGATAAACAGCTAAAGTGCAAAGCTATAACTTGCAATAATGATCAGTTGATGAAGCATCATTGGATTAAAGGTATATTATCAGTTTGTAGTTAATATATGTATTGTGTTAAATGTACTACTTTTTAAATATCTTTTGTTATATTTAAAGGTAATTTGCCATTTGTTGCCATATGTTACATCTGTGAAGAAGAGTGTGATGTAGAACCCGGCCTTACAGACTGGTGGTGCTGTTGGTGTCAGAGATGTGTTCACAAAACATGCAAACCTTCTCTTTCTGAAGTAATGATTAATGATATTTTGTTTTTTTTTAAATATTTTTCATAATTTTTAAATAATTTTTTTTTGCTGCAAAGAATTATTATGATAACACATCACAAATTTTAAATCATTATAATAATCGTGTTTGAATTGAACCTTGTTCAAAATTTTATATATTTATTAATTTCTTAATTTTAATAATAAAATGGATTGCTCATATGTAGCCAAGAAAAATAATATTTTTAAGAATGTACAATAACGTTAATTTATTATTATATATATATATTGCATTATAGAATGCTTTTTATTTTATTATTCTGAAAAAGTTGTGAAACAAATTATGAAATATAAAAACGTATTTCTTTTCAGATATGTGATTTTGGAAAATTCAAATTAATGATCATTCCACCAGGAAGTTTAGAAGTAATAAATCGACGCACAATGACACGCAGATTACATCTTCGTTCTATCACACCACCAAATTGGCCTAATTGGAATCCAATCATTATTGTAGGTAAGAGAACAAAAATAACAATAAGTATTGTTTAAAAGACAGTAATGAATTGATGATGTTTAGATATATCTTTTTCTCATTGTTCTTTTTCTTGATAGGAAATAGAAAATCAGGAAATAATGATGGAGGCCAAATTTTATCACTGTTTAGAAGATTGTTAAATCCTGCGCAAATCGTAGATTTAGCAGACCGTGATCCAGTTGCTGCCCTTGAATGGTGCCGTTTGTTAGGAAAAATTCCATCCACTATACTCGTAGCCGGCGGCGATGGAACTGTCGCTTGGTTATTAAACACCATCAACAAACTTGAATTAGAGGTAAATCCCTCTTGATATAAACATTTTAATATGCATAAGCACGAATACAAACAAATATTTTATACGAAACAGCCTGTTCCATCTGTAGCAATAATTCCTTTGGGAACAGGCAACGATTTATCCAGAGTATTAGGATGGGGAAAACAACATGATTCACACTTAGATCCTACGGAACTATTACAAAAAGTTCAAGCAGCGGAGAAGGTAGAGCTTGATAGGTACGTGCTAAAAAAATTATACATTTTTTAATTACCGATTGATTAGAGCTACATGCAGCGTGTAATTTAGGTGGTCCGTGACGATAAAACCACTCGGCGGACTAGGCTTCAGAGGATCGAATCGTAATTTGTTCATGTACAATTACATAAGCGTGGGTGTGGACGCACAAGTGACTTTGAATTTTCATCGTACAAGAGAGAGTCGCTTTTATCTGTTTAGTCATAGAATATTTAATAAGGTATCACTTCGTTTTCAAATAAACGTGTAAATAAAAAAAAAATTATTCCAAATCAAATAAGGTAGTTTATGTGCGTTTTGTACATGTTTGTAGCTGTTGTATTTGTGCTTTGGCACACAACAAGTCGTGGAAAGGGAATGTAAAGATCTCGATAAAAGTTTAGAAGTCTATTTAGATGACAAGAAGATAGAACTGCCTTCTGTTGAAAGCATAGTGATACTTAACATTCCATCTTGGGCTGCTGGTGTCGATCTTTGGAAAATGGGAATGGAAGGTTAATATATCTTAAAAATGAGATTATATTTATTTAAATATAATAATTATACTAATTGAAAAGTATTGCT